ATTTAGCTTACAGTTTGTGGAGGTTTCAGTCCATACTTGGCTGGCTCCGAGGCAGAAGGTAGCAAACCAACAAGAGCAAAGCGGGGAATGGCAGCCGAACAGCAAAGCAGCCAGAGCAAACCGGAGGAATGGCGGCAAGCAGCTTCTTTCCCTGCCTTACTTTGTAAACAGACTACCCCTACCTAAGGGGCATGTAGCTCTCACATAATCTCCATGCCCTCCTCTGCAACAGTACAGGCTCAGGATATATACAAAGTAAGTATCCTGCCTTCCTGCTGAGTTACTTAGCCAAACCTCTAGACTCCCCAAGTTGACACAATGTATCAACCATAACAGACCCTTTTACCAAAGTGTACAACATGGGCCGATTGATGGGCATAAGTGAGTACTGAGCTGGTGTTCGGCAGTGATGAGAAAGCTTTGTGGGGATGAGGTTCCTGGTCTTATCCTTAATAAGACATAAGGACCACTGCTAAGCACCTATCAATTCAGAGGGCACAGATCACTGCTGGGGAATATATGGCATGCAGGTTGTTGTGGTTTTCTTTGAAGACAAAAGATGTTAGTGTAGAAGTTGTTTTTTTCTGAACTAGAACCTCAGTATTCAAGATTAATTGCAGTGTTGGCAGTATAAAATAAATGAGTTTGGGTTGCACATTGAGCCCTCGGTATCTAAAAGGTTCAGCATCCCTGGCATAGACGAATCTTTTCATGATAACTGCTTCTGATGACAGATACTAGGACACTTTTTGTGGTCAGGTAATACTCAGACATAGCAATGCCAAAAGAAATGAAACAAGACAACTACCATAAGAGTTGAGAGAGGAAACTGTAGTGGAGGTGTGGGTCAGTAGCATGGGTACAGAGCAGAGATAAACACAATGGGATCTCTTCTAATTCCTGAGTTGCAGCTTATGTTAGGTAATTTAGCATGTCAAAGTGGATCTCACTAGGAGGTGGTGGTAATAGGACAATAGCCATATGACCTCTTCTTGAAAGTGAGATGCCCGAAATTGAAAGGGTATACTATGAATGAGTAGACTGGAGTAATAAGACCAGACTGGGACATGGAGACAAGATCTAGAACACTGAATAAAATCTTCTTTCTACTACTACTGTCTGTGAAAGTGAACAAGTTACTTCATCATTCTTTATCAAATGCCTATGAAACGCAACATGGAATGGATTTTAGAAAGTGAGATATTTACATACAGGGAGTACCACTCTACCATAAAGAAGGATAAACTTAAATCATCTGTAGGAAAATGGATGCATCTTGAGACCATAATGTGAAGTTAAAAATCAAACACACAAACTTAAAAGACTGCATGATTTCTTTTAAATGAGAAACCCAAAATACAAATAAAGAGCAAAGTATAAGACAGATAATAGGAAGCAGTGAGGCAGACTTTTCTCACATGGAAAGGAGATCAAGAGATGGAGAAGGCAGGAAAGGGAATGCAAAAAGCAGTGAGCTATGCTGTGCATGTGTGCCACGTCTCCACGAGGAGTCTGGTCGTCACGCACTGCAGACATGTACTGATGTAAGCAAACCAAGCAAACAAACACGAAACCTTGTGCTACTGTCTTTGCACAAGTTGAAAGTGCTAATGTTGTACAGGCCTACCCTCAGAGCTGGCTAGAGGTAATTGAGGCCTCAAAGTGTATAATGTCATACTTCAGTTTACATAAATTGGTCTTTGAAGACAGATAGGCTTTTATTTGTTCTGCTCAATATTACCTGTATAATCCTGGTAAAATATGCTGCCTCAATTTCCTTACCTATAATACTGGATTATAGCAGTATTATTTACTATGAAGAATTGTTATGAAGAATAAAAAAGTCAATATTTAGTAGAGCACCTACTCATGTTAAACGTTCTACTGTTATTATAACTTGAAATTACTTAAATAATTTTAGTGAGTTTGTGTAAACACCAACCTTCTTTCAGAAGAATTAGGGTTGTCAGAAGAAAATAAAGTAAAAAAAGGAGGGAGAAAATAAAAATGTCATAAAAAAGAAAAATACTAATCATGTTTTTAAACTGTATTTCACAAAGCTAGCAAATTCTCTTTTCCAGTATACCAGAAAGTAAATATTTTTTTAAAAAATACAAAATGCTTCTCATGGTTTCTTCACAAATTTCAAATAATTATTTATGAGAAATTAATTCAAACTGTGAAAGTTGTGGGAACTCAGAATGACATTTCAGAAAGTTAAATTATAGTGTTTAAAGATCACTTATTTTCAGCTTTAATTTTGCCTCTTGATAAATTAATACACAGATATTTCCTTACATTTGATAAATTTTAGCAAAGGAATGTTATCTTTGAATGCTGAGTCCCTTTTACATCATTCCAGGATTTTTAAATTTTAAGCTCTTTAGAGTAAAAAATGTTGCTAAGAGAAATGTGACAAATGTTCACTTAAATAAATGATTATCTTAATAACTCATCAGTAATTAAAGCCTAAGGTAAAAATCAACTCATGAAAATTATCTGCAAGAATATGAAAATGAGTTCAATTTTACTACTCTTTATGTAAATGAACATGAGATGACAGTATGCTACCCAGTCTTGTCTTGGTAGAAATTTTAGCTCTGTTTTGTGTTCACATGTGGAATATGGGCGGGCTCCTTGGAGCAACAGTTGTATATTTTAAAAATACATATATTTTTACCCAATAATTATGTAAAAACATAAATTTTGAAGGTATCAAGCGTTAGTAAAATATACAGCTAGTAGGAATAATTCATAGAATAACATTAACTTTAAAAAGTCCGGTTCCCATTAGAATTTTAAAGAGTACATGGTCTCTATGAAAAGTACACTTAATTTTGACGACTGCAAATTTACTGACTCCTTCCTTCTCTTATGTCTGTGTTTCCGTGATTCCTGGTTGAGGGCCTGCGCAGGGCAGTGTGTGTGGAGCTGGATTTGGGTGAGGAAATGTACAGGTTAATCCTAGATGATGGTCTCCGGGATGGCTCTAGAAGTTGATGAAAGGGTTTTAGAGCAAGGGCACATAAGAAAGGCTCAGAGGCCTGAAACATACTGAAAAGTCCCATGGGAATGCACATAGGGATTTAACATACCCGTAAAGCAGCAGGGATTGAAATGAGTGGGAGAGAGTATTCCACCAGTTGTGACGGGTATGCGTGGGGGTATACTTGGGAAGAGGGGCAAAGTGGCCAGTGTGCCTAGCAAAGCAGGGAAGTGAGAAGCTTGGAAATTGGAACAGTGAAGGGTGCACTTCCATTGAATACCCTTTGGTATCTTTCTGATTCTTCTATCACATGAATCTATGACTCGGCAGCCTGAAAGTTCAAGTTTAATGTTCACAGTTGCTAGCTCTTAACCTGGCCAGTGCTGATATCCTCTATCTCCTTATTTGTGAATGGGGTGGATAACTTAGCCAGTACCATAGAACACAGAAAACGCTCCCAGGAAATGTCACTTAGGAGAGAAGCTATTCATATCTCCACCTGTGAATGGGGGGGTGGAGAAAAATATGTTCCAAACATGCAACATGATAGAATGCAGTCATGAGAGTTGACTCTCACACGCTGCTGCACAGCTGATGCTTAAATGCAGTCTGTTCAGGGAAAGACTCTGCAGCTAAAGTGTCTGTTGCTGTGTGACTACATGTGCCAGCAAGGTGCAGGTAGGCAAATACAGACAGGATAATGGTTGGCACTGTGAATAGGTCACAAGGGTTTTCCCTTATGGTGAAAATGCCATTAACACCATAGTGGACAGAATGCCACTGAATTATATTTTTAAGTGATGGATGTTCATAGAAGTCTATCTGAACTAGCATTCTCTAGTGTCCTCTGAGGAGTGTCCCTAGTGTCCTCTGTGGTCCTCTGCCCACGGTCTGCTGGCCACACTCCATTCCATTCCTACCCCATACCTGCAACCCACCAGCGCCACGCCAGTCCACCTCTCTCCTGCCCCTAATCCTGCAGCACTCTGCAGCAGCACCATCAGCAGGCAGGTGCTTGGGGGCCCTGCTGCCTGAACGTGTCCCTGTGTGTATTTCTGCCCAGAAGCAGACTGTGGAAATGCAAATCTTTTTGTCCTTCTAATGACTACACATTCTCAGAAGGTAGTACATTCCCAGGTCTCAGGACAGCAAGCCTGGGCTAGAGCCTTGACTTCATTTTCAGTCACTTTTATAAGTTAGGACTTACTTACTTGTGATCTCTGGAAGCAGTGCCATGAACGCCAGGGTGGCCATGTGAGGGGTCGGCGCTTACGCAGTCTGTAAGGACCTTAGAGGGTCCTGGGGCCTAGAGTCAGGCCTTGTTGCCTCTGTATGCAGAGAAATTCCAGACCATTGCCCAACTGGGACTGAGAAGGGACTAGTGAGACTGGCCTGGCACGATGGGAAGTTAGCTGAAGTACACACCTCTGCTGTCCTGGGCCTTGGGTGCGGTGGTGGTGGGGAGTGATTTCTATTTTGGGCCATGTTCCAGGTGGGCCCATTCCTGCCGGCACTCATTTGGCAGGCATCGTACAACCTGCCGCCCCCTGGACCGCTGTGAAGCCCAGCCAACACCCTGGTAGCTTCGCCAGTGTTTTGCAGTCACCTTCGCCAGTATAGGCTTACGTGACCCAGGTATTGGGAAGGTGTCCTGCTGAAGAGGGCCGGCCTGGTCTGTCACCTGACAGGAGGCCCATGGCCGTGAGAGAGGATTTCGTTTTTCCTCTACCCAACCAACAGCCATCCTGTGGCATCCTGCAGCTGCACAAATAGTATTCTTTTCACCGTGATCAGAGACGTAGGGTCTCCTGTCATTTTACTCATACCCAATTCTTCTAGCCCATACAATTATATCTCTTCTCTGGACTTCTTTACTCAACTCTCCTTTATCCTTGCTCCATTCTTAACCTCTGTGCCCATGTTTTCCCAACCAGTGCTAAATTCCTTCCTTTATGTACACTTTCATACCCCCACCATGCCCATCCCAGAGGAAACCACTACATACAGCATCTCAGAACTCAAAAGGGGACTTTTATTTCCTATCTATGGGTTCTCCTGAATTCCTCTGCTGAGGAGTTATGTTGCCCTGAAAATAACCAGGACGTGGTAATGCTAACCTTCAGCAGTATGCTGGAATCAGCAAATGTCTACTTATTTTTCTACATATCTACATGGATAATCCGGTGGAGGCCAAGGTGACCGGGCACTGCCGCTGGCTCTCACCTTGCATACCCGTAGTACTGGGCAATTTCCCTGTCTCTCTCCCTCTGCTTGAAGAACTGCAGCTTCCCTAAGGAGGTGTAGTTGGCGGCCAGCTCGCGCTCTCGCTGAGCCTGCCTCTTCAGGGCTTCGCGCTCTGGCCTCTGTTCTTCCGTGATGGGGCTGGACATGACGGGCTCAGGCACGTTGGGTTCCCTCCAGGGAATGGGTTGGCGGCTGAAGTCTTCAAGGAGAAATGGGTGTTGCTGCTGAGGCGGGGACCTGCGCTTGGTCACCGCAGTGGCAACAGGTTCCCTTCCGAGAGAGGCGGAAGGTGCCGTTTCCTGGGGTGCAGGCTGAGACCCTGCAGACTGGGGAAGCCCAGGCTGGGTGGAGGAGGTCGAGTGTGGTTGGCTGGCATTGTTGGGCACCGGCTGAGCTGGTTTGGCAGGCCCCATGAGCGAGGTGTTGGCGGCAGCTGGTTGGGACGGTAGAGCGGTGCTAGTAGCTGCAGGCCGGGCATGGTAAGCTCCAGGGGGTCTCCGTGAAGCAAGAAGCTGCGGCCTTCGAGAAACAGGTCTTGCTTGAGGCTTCTCTGGGCTGGGAAAGCGCAGAGGTATTAACTTCACCTGCCCAGGCGGTGGGAGCTCACACAGGGATGCAGAGGAACCCTCTGTTGGAGCTCGACCCGGCAGGTTCTGGGAGGTGTCCCCAGCGCTGTCAGGCCCCTTGCCCTCACGTGGGGCCCTTGGCCATGGTTTGGTGGTTTGCGATGTCTTTGGATCTTTGTCGGCATTCGATGTTCCCAGGGCCCGCGAGGCAACGGTCCCAGCTGTCTTATCCAACTTCTTCCCTAAGGGGTGGAAAACCTGCACAGATTCGAGCATGTGCATGCCTAGGCAGGTGCGAGGCTTTTTAAAGGCCTCTTGGCCAAGTGCAGGTTGGTGTCTCTTGCGCTTCACGTTGGGAATTGGAGGCCTGTCTTCGGCCTTGAGTTTCGGTGCTGGCTGCTTGCTCTCTAGCGCTTTCCTGCTGTTGTTCTCTTTGGTCCTCCTGGCCCTAGCTTGCCCAAGGCCCTTATCTGGGTTGGTCCTGCCCGAGGCCCCTCTGGGCGACGTGCTGTGGGAATTCTCAGTCACGTCCGCAGGAGCCCTGTCACTGCCCAGTGCGTTGAAAATGCGCCCTTCTCCCGCTGACAGGCTCCCATTGCCCTTCAGCTGAATTTTAGCTTCGGGAGCACCGG